CTGTGGAAACCAAGTCTGCTGGTGACGGTGAGGTCAGGCTCGGAGCGCCGATGGGATGAAGTGGAATGATGCTTAGCTGGAGGATCTTAGATGCCGTTAGCTACCCGAATCCAGCTGTTTAGCTCAGCCAGGATGGTGACAGTGGTGATCTCATATAGCACTGTCACCATCCTGGTAACGGACAGGGGACGCTTTAGATCCCTGAAGGCAAGGAGGGAGGTTTTGAAGTTGCACTTTGTAGGTTAAGACGCTCTCCCACCTACCTCCAGAAAAGAGAGGAAGGCTACAAAAAACAAAAGTAGAGAGTGCTTGGGATTCTGACCTGTCAGTAGTTCCTGTCCCTCTTGAGCCTGGTGGTGATGTAAAGTGAGTAATGTTCTCCATGGGTGGATTATTTTAAATTTTCTCTTAAGATAAAAGACACACCTAAATCAGTCTTTAAAACAGCTTCCCCTCACCCTCTTTCTTCATTTTGGCAGTAAAATGTTGATGTGATTTATTTTTGTCTCCAAGAAAAAAAAAAAAGAATGGGAAACTCTTGTTCAGTTTCACTATGCAGAGATTGTTTTTTTTTCCTATGTCTCTCCCTTGACATCATCACTCCATCAATTTCATCTCTCTGTATGTGGTTATCTATGATTTGCAATAAGTCAGATCACTTACATCTAAATCTTGGGAGCTTTGTTTTGGTTTTGTGTTCATCATTTTCAAGGAGATGATACAAGTCCGTGATACCCACATAATTTTCATGTGGTTAAACCACTGGCAGCTTTTGTCTTACTTCTGGATTAAGATCTACATTATTAGTCATTTACACGTCTATAACAGGCCAGAAACAAGTATTGTTAATGCTATTAACAATTAGAAAAATTATTTTTCAAGCTTGATTAAGATGACATTGCAAAGTGAACTACTTAGTAGGGAATAAGTTTCCTTAAAGTATTAGTTCATGTCAGCTGGATTCTGCTGGTTTTATCAAGTGCTAGTGGTGTTAAATAAGAAATAAAGACCTGCCAATTAAAAGAACAAGTTTCCTTGTATAGTGTTGTATGGTAGACTGTGTATTTTTGTAACTGAGTACTAAGCCTGTTAGTTCTTGCAAGGAAAAAAGAAACAACTTGTGTTCTTCGCTACTTGCAAGTCATTCTGTTTCCTTCAGGCATCTTCACCTGAAATTAAACACTTGTTTTAATACTGATCTCTCTTGATTCTTGCACATATCGGTAGCTTGCTTAAAGCAGCGAAATAATTTAGGTGTTTTCCTACTTGGAGATTAATCACAGCTTTTGTGGAAGCGTCTTCTTAAGTGTCTCTTCCTGTAGGCCTTGCCTTGCTAGCTCAGCTCTGTCACATATCACAGTGTTGTGGAAATCGTGGGCTTTCACTTCCTTTTTACAAAGAGTTGCCGTAGTTTTGCATTTTTTTAAGTTTTGTAATTAGCAATAACAATTTTCTCTAGTATATAACTCCTAATTTTCATTATGATTTTTAATCTTGTGTAGCAGTTGTACCAAATGAGACTAGAATAATGGTGAATGCAAAATAAGGTATTTGTATAGTCTTGTAGAAGATTTTGTGAAGTGAAAGCTTTGAAGCATATGCTGCATGACTTAATATTATTCTGCCTGATTTGAATGTATCTTGTAAACAGCTATGAAAGACTTTAGTTTTACTATTGAAATACATTTGCCATTCTGCTGTTTTTGTTTTCCCTTATACACTGATTGTTTTCCCTTTGTAGAGTTTTTTTTCAGTATTCTGAAGCTGGCACAGGAGGACATGGTACTGAAGAACCTGTTAATTTTCAGCAATATTGAAATGTTCCTGCTGGAGACTCTAATGTTATAAAGAGCTGTGTGGTTTTCTGGTTTGGCTATTTTTAAAGTTTTCTATGCCTACCTTTTCATCTTAATGACATCCTAGGAGAGCACTTCAAATTCCAGCTCAGGCAGCTTAACTTTTTGAGTGAAAGCAGAATGCTTTTTGGAAAACTTTGTAGAAGAGATTTAGTGCAAAATTTTCTTTTTTCGTGTTCTTTAATGAAGTGTGATAAGTTAAAAGACTATGTTCATATCTTGTGAGCCTGAACAATTGACGAAATAAAATACCTGACCCAAATCTTTTTAGCAAGGAGAGATACTGGTATTAAAAAAAAAAAATCTCTGGGAAAAGCGAGTAAATTGTTATAAGGTTGAATGGGATCATAATGCTAAGGCAAAATGAAAGAAGGGGTGATGGGAAGAGTTACAAAAGCTGATTTTATTTCCAGCGTGGAGTAAAGTGGGAGAAACAAAGGCATTTAAAGGGAAGTGGTGAGAAAGGGATATTACTATGGGTACAGTATATACTGCATAAAAGAAAGTCTGAAAGGAAAGCTAGCTTCAAAGCTAAACTGTGTATTTTTTTTCCCCTGAGTTACAAAATCAAGTTATGGCTTTAATTTTGGTTTTGTTTTTGTTTTCTTTCAATAAATGAGCAGGAGAATCAACAGTGTATATATGGGAATATTAAAATGTCATCTGGAAGTGGTTCTGTTGCGCCTTTGGCTAAGGTTTCATAAGTTAACACTACCACTGAAAGACCCAACATGTCTCTTCCTCTCACTACCTGTTTTCTTTGTCAGTGCTAGCCTCAACATGGCTGTGTAATGAGTTGAGTGGACGAACTGATCTGAGCTAAGATGATATGGCAAAGAAATTAACAGTTAGCTTTCAACCCAAAACAATTTCCTGATTCCTTCCACTGTGGATGTCTGTCCTCTCACATGCAGAGGGTTGGCTTTAGAGGCATACGTGAGTGATGGAAAAGGGTAGACTACTTTTATTGCCAATGCCAGCTTATATAATTTTAAAGCGATTGTGAAATTAGTGTTAACTAAGAAACAGTTGTCACCCCATATTTTCATCATAACTTTGAAATGTGTTCAGTGGGTTTTATTTCAGATCATAATGATAAATATACAGTGAGTTCTATAATCACCTGGAAAGAGCTTGTATGGTCTGTTTAGTACGTACCTACTTCCAGGTGATAGTAAGTATGTTGTTGATACTGCAGTTTGCAACAGGCCCCTCTTAACCATTTCTGAAGGTATCTTAAATACATTGAGCCCTTCAAATGTTGTTTTTCTCTTTTGCAATTCATATGGAACTGCAAAATATTTGCGGTTGAGTCCTTTTTAAACATAGTATTTTGGCTTTTTAATGCCTAGTGTGCTTTTATAGTAGCATGATTGGCATAAAGTGTTAAGTGGTTTGTTTGCCTCTATTTTCCATTGGTTCTTGCTGTTGTCTTCTGTTACATTTCAGGCTATGTAGCACTTAGAGTAAAGATTAAGGACTGTGAATCTGTTTTGAATTAACTTATTCTTAGTGGTGTCAATGAACTTTGTTCCCGTCCTCTAACAGATGCTATTCCAATGTTTGAATCTTTGTGAGCATTATGAATGCAAGATGCTCAAGGCAGATATTAGAAGGGCCAGTAATGTCAGCAAGCTGCCTGCCTGAAGCATGTCTGCAGCTTTAGTCAGAGCAGGACAGGAACCTCTACACCTAATGCAAGTAGGTATTTCTTTAATGCATCTTCTTCAAATTAGTGGAATTTGCACCTGCTTTACAGTCGTGCATTTAATGATTGCTACCACTAAACGGCCTTTTCAAAGCTGTAAGTTTGATATCAGTTTTAGATTGTCTCTGTGCTAGTCCTGAACATGTGGCTGTGTCAGTGGCCTCAGGCTTGTGAAACTGACTGTGCACACAACTTGCTAAGAAATGTCAGAGTTTGACAGAATTGTTCTGTAGGCCATCTGATGATTGCACCACGCAGGGAGGTCGCTCTGCTGTAGAATACACTTAACAAAAAAGCTAGCAATTATGTTTCTCTGCCTTATGAAGACTTCAAGAAATCAGACTCTCAGACTCAATGCTTACAGGTTTTTCAGAAATGTATTGCAGTAATGTGAAGTCACTGAGAACTCTTTCTTATTTGAAAAGAACGCATTTTTCTGTTGTTTAGCAGTGATCTTTCCAGAGTTAGCCTATGTGCAGTAAGGAGGAAGAGCGCTCGTTCTTTCTGAGGAGAAATTAGATGTGAAAATTCTGTTCCTTTATTTAAGCATGCAAAGGAGCAGCAGAAGGAAAACAGCTTTTCCACACAGAGATCTTTACCTCAGATAGATGTGGAACAGATTGTTAGCTGATGTAAACTTGTGTTAGCACCACTGAAATCCATGCATTGATTTAAAGCATCTGTGGATCCTTCTTGATAAACCTGTGGAGGTATTGAGATTTCTTCTGTTCAGATATGTACACAAAAAAGAGGCAGTGTAACTTTTGTGGGTAGGCTTTAACTCTTGTATCAGTAAAATTACACTGTGAATATAATGTGATTGTTTATGCCACCATGGAGATCTCACACAGAGTTTGAGAGACACAAGCATTTTAGGGAAGAATCTGAATAGTCTGACAGGTGTGGTCACTAAGCTGACCTCAAGATGCCAGCTGCAAACAATTTCTCTGAGACAATATGTATCATCAGCCTTAGTTCAGTGCTGCTCTAACATAGTTGCAGGGCTTCTGGGCCATCATATCTGCATTCTGCTGAATAGGCATTTAACTTCAGCCCACGTTATGTCCCATATGTATGTACACATACATGTTTGCCCTTGTGAAAACAGCCATGTTTAAGCACATTTCTTCCATAGCATAATTTGTTCTTTCTAGTTTTTGAATCACTGTTCTGGAAGTGACTAGGAGTTGAGTCCTTCCCCAGCTTGCACGATTGCAGACCTAGAATAGAGCACTCACTGGACACAGTGGATTTCGTCTCCTGGGTTCATGTGATTGCTCCCTGGATGACTTCTAGCAGCCTTTCCGAACACCCTTTCTAGAGTGGTGCATGTACTTTGTTGCCTCACTAGTAATTTGTGTTTCTCTTTTGCCTCTCCTCTCTGGTTCTCTGGCAAAAGGCTTTTGCCTTCCCTGTTGACATCTTTTTAGTGTTGGTGCAGAAGCTACCTCCAGGAATACCTCCATACCCGAAATCATTCTCTCAAATCTGTTGCAGAAGTTGGCTGCAAATAGGTCTCCAGAGGCATAACAACACCTCCTTTGAGCTGGGAAGTTGACTCAGGCTCTGTAGAGAATGGCATTCGCACCATTTATGTGGAATAGCTTTCATAAAGTAAAAGAGGAGTTGCATTCCAGTGACCATCTTCAGCCCATGCAAAGCACAACCTTTGGGGTGAACTTGTGTGTACGCTGCTCTTAACGTTTGCTTCAGTCTAAATCAAGAGTCTTGCATTTTGTATTCTACCTCTTGCTTACAAAGTGCATTTGTCATCTTACCTGTTCTTCCTCTTCCAGCACCCTTTCTTCTATCTAATGCCTTTACATGGTAGCAATGCCCTTTGCCATGTTGTTCCAGGCAAGAGTGATTGTACCTATTTGAGGAGGTCCTTGAGCACTTTTATGAAGGGCAAAAAAAAAATCCTGGAGTTAGCCCAGCTGTTGGATTGATAACTACAATTTGTATTTCAGTGGCTACTCAAGTTTCCTTAATTTCATTACCAGGTGAAAGGATAAGAAACTTTATTTAGGAACAAGATAATTCCTTACAGCCCAGATAAAAAAAAAGTCTGCTAAGGCAGCTTTTGTTCTTTTTCTGATTTTACGATGACGATTTAAGCAAAGTAGCCCCAACAAATGGGACAACTTCACTTTGTTTGGCTTTGTTTAAAAAAAAAAGCAAAAAGAAAACAATTTTCATCAGGTTCATTATTTTAATGTTGGAGAATTAGATGTGATTAGGATACGAGAATAGATTCAGGATTTTAAAAATTATTTAAATTACAGTGCAAATGCAGGATTTGGGGTGGCCTTTTAATTTACTGATTTGCAATTCTGTCTTTGAACTCTGTTCCATTTGTTTCTAAAAATGCGCTCAGAATAGAAGGTTTGTTCTTGTAGTTGCAATTCTTTACTGGGATTTTGTGAACAACAGTCTTTAATTCTAAACTTCAGTTAAGAGTGAGAGTCTATCGGCTTTTGTCCTCTGCAGAGGTGGGTATGCCTGGGCTCTTGGCTTTAAGCAGACGCTCTCGTAGCTGTTGAGTTTTTCTGGAGTTCTGAATATGGGCTTCTTTTCCGATATGGGGAAAATCATTCAGTGGCTGCCAAAATCTGACCTTCTGAGCAGCTCCTGATTTTCTTTCATAGTGTTCTCTCCACTTCAGAACAGTCAGAGAGCCTTGGTTTGTTTTGTTTTGTTTTGTTTTTTTTACTTTAGTATTTGCTAATGGGTTGGAGTTTGGGGGGTTTAACCATTTTTCTATCAGTGAATAATGTGGGCTGTAACTTCAAATTGACTTCTATAAATCACGCTTTGTCGTTACATCGCAGTAAAAGTGTTAGAATAAACCTTTCTGCCTCAAAACTTGAGTGAGAAGCTCGGCAAGGAACTTTTGCTGAAGTATGCATTGACAGTATAGGTTGAGGAGCCTGATGGCACAGAACTCGTTGTGAGATCTAGAACTTGGAATCTGTGTGAAGGCACTTACTTCATCGCTGGGGTCACTTCCTGGTGCTGGGCAGCAAGTCCCTCCCACAGCCTCCAAACTGTACACATTCAAGACAACGAATTCTGTGCATCTGGTTTTTGAACTGTTGAAGCTGGTGATGCAGTGGTTGCCTCACAACTCCCCAGCGCAGCCTGGGCTCCCCAGCAGGACGGCAGAGGCGGCAGGGCCGGGCGGCGGTGTGGAACCAGGCCGACACGCAGCCCTCCGGCCGGCCTGGGCCCACCCAGGCCCCAGCCTGGCCCCCGTGACCGTTTTTCTCCCCCCAGGTGAAAGAGGTGGAAGAGACAATCGACGAGCTGCTGGGGAGGCTGGACGAGTTCTGCGGGATAACGGACGCGGTACGTGACCCGAGGCCCTGCCGCCGCCGGCCCTGAGGGCGGGGCTGGAAACTTGGGCAGAGAGGAACCTGATGAGGTTCAACAAAGGCACCTCCGCGGGCGGGGCAGCGGTCCGCGGCGCCGTTCACTCCGGTGCGTGTTTTCCATGGCCCGTCCCGTTGCCTGGGTGGTGGTACGAGGCCTTCCGAGGAGCCTGCTCCGGTGCCTCGCCGGCTGCGTCGTTGTGAGGCAGGGCGCTGGGCTGGCCGAGATCCGAGCCTTACCCTGAGGTCCACGGCCACCGGCCCCTAATTCAGGGCGCCTGTGCTAGGTGCTCTGCAGGTGCCACAAGCCAGTTGTGTCTACTGAGGGTCTGCAGGCAGAGTATGGGGGAGAAGTTGGTACGGGTGGAGTAATGAGTGGGGAGTGTAATTAACGATGAGGGTGTGAGTGATAGACAATGCAACATTCGTAGCAGGCCGATTATCTTTGCCGTTGTCAGTACCTGATTGTTGGGGACAAACCATTTAGAGCAAGAGGTGTGTGGTACTCTTTAGCTTCCCCAGGCTTTCCGCATGAAGTGGTGCTGTCTGAAGGCCACGTGGGTTATGGTGTTCACGTAAAAATAATGAATGGGATTTTTGCAGTCAACTTTTCTTTCCTTTCTTAGGCTAAAAAATGTGAAATTAGGTGGAGGAACTGGTGTTGCATGTTAACCCTTCCCAGGTGTTTCATAGCACGCTAGCTCAGATAGCATGGACCAAATTTACCTAGAGGGGCTTCCTCTTATAATCATCGAAGCGCAGACCATCTTGCCTTCTGTTAGCACCTACCACAACATTTTTCTATGTCTTCAAGCATCTTGTATAATGCACGTCACTGGCAAATACAATGCTTGCTAATTGTATTGAATGCACTTCTAATGGCAAGAGGTGACCAGCCAACATCTCCTCAGGGACTTGTTCCCTATGAGCTATTTTGTTGGATAATTCTTAGGAAGTGTGTAGATAAATGGACAGGATAAAGTGAAGCAGATAAGAAAATTATGTGACCAATTATGTTTCTTGGGCAGTTGGAAAGCAATCTTGTGGCTTTATTCTCACCAGCTTTGGTGCAAATGAAAGGCATTGGCATGCTGGCCTTTCTGCATGTTGTCTTCTGTTTACAGAACAAATGCTGATACGGCCTTCAAAGTATCTTTCCACTTTTCTGTTCATGTATCCCGGTGGTGTTTGGAGAAATGTTTTTACTCTCAAGGACAAAACTCATAAGTCAAAGCAGTCTGGTGTGGTCTGCAAGAACCCACTGAAAACTCAAATTAACATGTTTGACACAGTTCATGAAAATATAATCAGCTAACTAATTATTATTATCATTTTGTTATGAGACAGATCTTTCTTGCACCTTGGATGTGAATTCTGCATGAGAGAAGTGAGGCCATCATGCTTGTTCTAGGTAAATGATCAGCAATACGGCCAGTTATTAATATTTTTTCAATTTTTATCAGAGGTTTCTGGTTTTGTTGTTGGCATGTCTTACTTATGGAAAGGAGGCATCATTGCTTCCAGAAGGAAGTGACATAGAGTGGAAAGAAACAAAAGCTTGCCTCATCAAAGTCTCATATGGTTAGTAGGGGACTTAAAAGGAGAAATAGCTGCCTTGTAAGAATGGTTCAGTATTAGTGGCTGTTTAGGCAGTTCATTTTCCATTCAGCTTTTGACAAAAATAGCTGTAAAGGAGCATGTGAACCTCAGAGCATGCAGTCTATTTTTTGATACATCCTGGCTTACATTTGTCAGCTTTAGATTCTCTAGTATGGCACATTTAGTCTGTGCAAAATGTGGAATACAAGGGATTGGTTTCTTGGGCCAAAAAATCCTTTGAGTTCATTCCTGAAGGGTGATGATTGCTTCAGTGATACGACATCACCTGCTCAAAGCAAGTGGTTTGAATCAGTAACTCTTCACTGCTGATTGTAGTCTGTCTCATTTACTGTTAAGTTCATTCACTCAGTTCTTCAGTTTGGGAGCTTACACTAAGATTTTGTATGTACCTTATGCTTTTTCCCATCAATCAAGCATGCACCTTACTTTTTTGGCTCCCATATAGGGAAGATGGTGAGCTTGTTCAGATGGATCTAGTGAGCTTTTAAACCTCCTGTGAGACTGCTTCTCTTGCCAACCTTTTCTACAAAAACCACTAGCCTAGTTTCAATACACTATTTTTGCATTGCCCCTGAAAACGTTTTTGCACAACCTGCAGGCTGTGAATAATTTCCTACTATGCAGATTATTGACCTTATCTGGGAACATCAAAGCACTGCAGTCAGTGTGCTGATTCTGTGCCTTTCTATCCAGTACCTATGATGTAAAGTTCCTTTCAGCAGCACATCAAGTGGTATCTGGGAATCTGATAGATATAATGTAGTATTTTGGACTGATTCCACCTTCTGTGCCTAGCAATAATTTGGTCTTTTGTCTATGCCAACAAAAGGCAAGGGGAATCTTGCTTATTTCAGTTGGGCATTCATTAAGGTATTCACATAGAGAGATTTGGCTTTTCTCCTTTGAGTGTGCTGCTGCTTTTTACTTACAAGTACTCTTGGTGCATACATTTGAATATTGCAATGAGCAAAAGCCTGGATCCTCAGTGCTAGGAAGACAAAATGCTATTTCCAGTGTCACAGTGTTGTACCTGGCTAGGCACAGCATGGCACATAAAATGGACACTCGTACAATAGGTACGTTACGGTGACGATGTAAATACAGTTCAGCATGCCTCACAGTTGCCTGGAGCATCTTGCAATGAAAAGACTGTGCAAGAAGAATTTTAGTGCCAATTATTTGACTTTTTGTGTTGTCTTCCTTAGGGCACTGACATCAACAAAGTAAATGAGTGTCTTTTAAGTGGCTTCACAGCCTCTCAAGTATAATTATCAAATGGTGATCTTTAAATGAGCTACAATTTGAACCAGTGACATAAAAGCAAAAAACATTCATCCTAATAACCAGACTCTTGGAAACAATATGAGAACAGCATATACATGGGTCATTGTTGGTTGCCTTTTTAGATATAATTCTTTGTGCTTCTTGTATATCTTGAAGCATGATTGAAAATGATATCTATTCAGACACGCACAGCTGGTTTAGTTACATGTGGAAAATCACTGCTTCCATTTCTTTGCCTCCTACTGCTTGAAGAAGATGTATGGATAGATACAAAGTCTCTGCTTATATTTGATACTCCTTCTTTTTTTTGATACGCATGTTGAACCTCTAGCATCCTTGCCAGTTTGTAAAAACACAGGTTAGCGGTTCTGAATCCATTGAACCTTCTTGCAGAACTTGCCCCAGGGAAATGATGTGTCTGTAAATCGTGTTTTATTATGGTTCCACAGGCCAGCTGCTAACTGCTTATCTTTGTCTCACGGAATTCCAGTCTGGGAACCTCTTTCCTGAAGCCCTAGGTGTGAAAACTGGTTTCATCACCGGGCAAAAGAGAGGAAGGGGTCATTTCGTTTGGTTCGCTAGGGTTTGCTAACTTGTCCGGAATATACCAACCTCAGTTTTATTTTTTCTCACCACTGAGCTGTTCAGTTTAGAGTGGTTAATGTCACTTGTGATCCTTTTATGTTACTCTGTGTTAACATATGGGATTGAAGGCTGAAAAAATAATAGATGCTTTCAAACAAGTCCCTGCGACAACTAGAATTTCCACAGTATCTTTGACTCTAGCAACGTTTTTTTTCTTCTGACAAAAGAATACTTTTACAAAATAACAAAATAACGAGAATCTGTGCTTGTTTAATTGGTACAGGTTGAACTGCAGTGTATGCAAGGATTAGGTCTCGCTGTCCTACGTGCAATGTGCCATTCCTGGTTTGTGTTGTAATTCATCATTCATACTCTGGTTGTGCTGTCTCCTTACTGACTTTGGTGCTGTTGGTTTGCTATCTCCTTGAGCTTAGTCTTGCTGACTTGAATTAGAAACCAAAGCTCAATCAAACCTTCCCTCCTTATCTCCTCCTCTAATTAGCATAATAAAATCTAGGAAGAGGAGTACAGGTTTTTTCCCCGTGGGCGGCTGTGCTCTGGTCCTTCTGCTGAGCACTTGGCTACATCTTGAGAAGGATGAAGTAAAATATATTGCACAAGGGGAAATAAATCTTATTTTATAATGTCGGGTTTCAGACCAGTCCTGCTTTCTCTGGCTCATGAGGTTGCTGTACCAAGAGAATCATTTCCCTTTGTGATGTGCCGACTCCTCTGTCACTGTGGTTCTGCAGACTGCTGCAGAATGTCTATTCTTGAATCATATTTGCATATCATTTCATTTCATTGCAGGCTGCTTGCTGGAAGATCAGCTCTCTTGTGTCTTGTATTGGTCGTTTGCTTTTACCCTCAAAGAAAGCTTAGATTTGTTCTGTGTCTGCCCTGACCTTGTGTTGATAGTTTCTGTATTTGGTCTGTAAAACTTCTCCCTCTTTCTGGCTACGTCCCAAACTGTGTTTATATTTACAGTAGTTATCTAGAATTTAGCTCTAAGAGTGGCTTTTCGATAGTTGTTTCTCAGACCAACATTAGCAAACAAGTTAGCTACCTTATCTTTGGAAAGTCCAGGCTCAAATTTTAATCTGATGTAGTTTACCTGAGTATGAACCTCACCTGAGACAGATCACTAATCTGTTTCTTCACATGTGCTTTATGAGAGGAGGGGATTTTGCCTATCATTGACTCAAAATAATTCGATAGAACAACCTGGGAATTCATCTGCTTCAGCTCCTTCATTATGTATTCATTCTGTGTTTTTGTTTAACATTAGGAAATACAAGTCTGACTCCATTCACAGGGATCCTGCCTGAGTGTCTGTGCTCACTTTCATTGGATATAAAGTACATACTGTAAAGATAACAGAATGTGTTTGTGTCTACAGTTGTGTCACTGCTGGGGCAGGTGTTTGTATATATCTTTGGTGGATGTAGTGCTGAGACCAGTAATACAGGAGTTACTGTTGGTTTGTTTACAATAGAAAGCTACTACTGTTTTGATATGTCTATTTGATCTCCTATTACAGAGCACTGATAGCACTATAAAAGCACTTAATCTGCAGGTGCTTATTCTGGTAATAAAAATACCATAAAATCTTACTGTGAGTCATTTTATATGTATATAGCTTTGTCTACACACAGCTTTTAAAAACACAACTTCTTTAAAAAAACAAACAAAAACAAGTGAGTCATATGATTATCAGTAAAACATCTGAATACCTATTAGAGTTTATAAAGCATGGTCTGTGGATTAAATGACTTATAGCAGGCATTTATGCTTGATTTGAGAGTGTAGATTAAATCTCAAAACGCTCAGAAAATTCCCTGCAGTATTAGCCCAACTCCAGATTCTTGCCATTCTAGCTAAAAGATCCTTACCCTTTATGGAGTTGAAGGAAGAGTATTTTCTAGTTCAGTCTTTGGAACAAAAATCACCTTTGGAGAGATCATCATTCCTCTATATTCTTTAAGTCTATTAAAATTGTAGGCAGGATAGCTTTAATCCAGAGTGAACCAAGTTCTCACTGTAGTTGACAAAGAAAACTTGTATACAATTGGGCTCAACTGCCTCTCTTATTTCTCTTGTCAGTGGATTACTGCTCTGTTTTACAAATTTGGATGGCTATTTGGGTGTTTTAGTGGAGGTTTTCTTGATTTTGCTTTTATCTTTCCCTTCAGAGAGCTCTTTCCAGTTGTCTTATCCATCATTTTTGGCTTGTACATTCCATTAGCTATAGTGCTCTGCTTGGAGGTATATGTTATTGCCACCTGACACAGCACTTGCAGTTGTTTATATATGAAATTGGGTAATTCTTGCTAATACAACACGTAGCAGGGTTTCAGCTAAGGTTCAGGCTCTCGCATGGATTCAGAAACAAGCTTGGTTGTATTAGGTAATGAAAGCCCCATAAAATCTTTCCTATATTAGGGCACTTACTATTGTGGAAACTGATGGGCTAGGAAGCAGAGGCTTTCTCTGAGATGCCTACACAATAAAGTTGTGTGAAAATTCTTGCTGTCCTGAGAACTGTCATCCTGACTCCCTGTTGAAGGCAAGATATTAGAAGTGGTGTACTCAAAGACGTGACCCAGGACAGCCATTTCTTTGTTTCTGTGTTAGTGCTAGTCTGCATTGCAAACTGAATTGTATTATCTAAGTGTAAACAGTCCTTTGCAGTTCATAGCTAAGAGTGACCCTTCTGTTACCCCTCAGTTAGGACTACTTGCCATAGGCTAACTCAAATACTTTTCAAAAACTAGTAAGTAGTAGGAGTTAGCTCTTCTCCAGGAAAATCAAAGCTTGACGGATGGTATAGAGGCAGTTTTCATTTTAAATCCATTATTTTCCCGTGTGTCTACAGTATTTCATAACAGAAAGTAGATGATCTCTTGGGAGGAAGACTGTGAAAATTTGGGGAGAAGCGGGAAGGATCTGGTTGCAGTTTTGGTGTGGCAATCTTGTCATCTGCTATTGGGGTTTTTTGTTGTCTCATGGATTACTTGAGAAAGTAAGTTATTTTCCCAGCTGTACTTTATAACATACTGCAAAAGGGCCCTTGTGATCTTTTTTTTAAATAGGTGTTTTTTGCAATAATCACATGAAAAAAATAGTGAATTGAAAAATATAATGTAGTGTTTATCTTCAAGATTCATCCTCATGTGAGATGCTTTTTTTTTTTCATGCAGATTAGAAGTGATACATCAGAGATCCTGGACGAGACCATTCCGCTCATCAAAGACAAGGTGGTGGAAATGAACCACGTCTATGCCAAAGTTGATAAATTAGAGGTTTGTTCATTGCATTAGAAAATTTACATCCTTCTTTTTGTGTGTTTTATAGGTCAACTGTCCAGGTATTTATATGAAGCACTCAGATGTTTATTGTCCTCTATTGTCTTATGTTTGTTTTTAAATCAGTGTGTTTATCCCATGGTTAAGCACGTATGGATGTTTATGGTTTTGGAACATCACTGAGTAATTTATTGCTGTGTATTCTACAATTCCTAGTGGTGGATTAAAAGCATTCGTTGTGATTTTGATGTTAACAATAATGCTAATAATGTTAATTTGTTTTGTGACTTGAAGGAGTATCTGTGAAACCATTTATAACTTCAAAAGTTCAAGTCTCACATCTAGTGCTGGACATACCCATTTTAAGTTGTTGATGATTCGCTTATGTAGTAGTGGAGAGATCTCTGAGCTCCCATCTTCTGTTGTGTATGTTTTGATGTTTATTGTATCCTGAATGAGGGAAGCCACTATGACTCACTAAGATGATACCCTCACCATATTTAGTAAGCTGTATGTTAAAATTTGTGTCAACTGAGGGCAAGTTTGCCTCTGGGAAGAATATAATGAAAACATGATGAGATAAATTATGTAATGTTTAAAATCAGTTTTAACTGACTCAAAGTGAAAGAAACCAAGTGTTTGTGGTGTTAAATCTGATAGGCAGTGCTTAAGCTTCAGGCTCTACCCCTGTACAACGTAATATCCTCTGGTAAGGTTTACTACGCTGGGAGGGGCAAGGCAATTGACTTAGCTTTTGGCAAGTTCTCTTTATGTGCAATTCATTTTTTGTAGTCTGCATTTTTCACCTACATTTGATAACAGACTTATCAAACCACTTCATATTTTATGGACTTACACAGCACCAGAAGAAAGCTTCAGACAGGAAACTGAGGCAAGGCATTTTAGAACAAAAGTGGGAGTCAACTGTTAACCTGCTTAGAAGCCTGTCTAGTTTTCAGAACTGATTACCCCAGTCCAAGAAATAGCTAGTGGATTTTCAGCATTCTTGACAATTTGACCATACTTGAATGCATACTTAAGCTAGGACTGTGAAAAATGGCTAAATGAATCAGGTATCAAACCAGCTGTTTCTGGGAGAGTCTCACGCATTTAGGTCTTTTTGCAAATTCCATACTTATAGGTGGTTGGGATTTTGGGGGGAGTGTATGGCAGGGTTTTTGTCTTTGAACAGTACTCCTTATTGCTTTTTTCCCTCTAATACAGGGAAAGGAACCCCCCACACACACACTTCCTGACCCCATTCCCTTAGTACAGCTGAAGGGATGTAGTAATTTGGAATATGAAGAAAACACTCTTTTGCTAGGCTACAGGTTGTCCTTGAATAATGCAGCAGAATTTTGTTGAGAGGCTTTTATTGGTTATCAAGGGAGGATAATACCTTGATGGGCTGGGAATCAGTTTTTCTCCCCAACATTTCCAGCTGTAATGGCAGTAATCTGAGAGCGCAAGATTAAACTGGCAATTTGAGCAGTAGTTAATACTTTAATTAGAACTTTTAAATTTAAAGCTTAGCATCCATGGGGATTTTCAAGGGAGAAATTAACTTGTACTCCCAAGAGTAGGAAAGGACAGGGCTTTTTTGTAATGGTTACATAGGATGAGAATCTGCTGGGTTTTAATTTTGATGTTGCCACTGGTACATTTTGGGCAATTAATTTACCTGTTCAGCCTCACCTTCCCCATGCTTAAAATGGGCAGTGCTCAACTTCTCAAAAAAAACCCAACAAACCACAAACCTGAAGCTTAATCATTAATAGAGAATGTCAAAACTCTTTACAAACTGTTCTGTATTTTGACAAATAAATACTGTGTTCTTTCTAGTTGGCTTTCCCTTATGGCTCAAATTTCAGCTGAAACTGAATACATGTATGTTTTAGGTCAGTAATTCCTGACATTTTTTCAGCTAAAATCATCTGTCGTTATCTTTTCCCTGGCTTTCTCTCTCTCCTACTGCTTTGACCACTTTCTCACTCCCGCCAGTAGTAGTAGTGTCTTTGTGGGTTCTGAAGAGCTTTTCACCTCACTGCTGAAATGTTGCCAAACCTTTAGACACTATGCGAGTGCTTACATGCTCTGTGCTGAAACGGGAGTGAAAGTCTGCGCTTAGCTAAGGAGAAAAATTAGCCTTGGGTCATGACCAGTGGTTCTTCTCACGGCTGTAAATACCTGTACCCTGCTTAAGGGTATGTGCCCCTTGGATATTTATATGAGCAATAGTATACTCTGAAATCTTGTTAAAGCTTTTTCTTTGACTTCTGGTCTCTAGCTAGGATAATGTTAAAACCCAGCACCAATGCTTTTAATTTTCATTAGGTGTTTTTCATCTCTCCACAGGCATTTGTTAAAATGGTTGCCCACCATGTTTCCTTCCTAGAAGAGCAAGTGCTTGAAGCAGAGAAGAGCCATGGCACCTTTCTTAATACTGTTTGCAACTTATTTCCGTGTGTGACTATATCATCATTTAAAAACGTGAGTATATTTAAAATTCTTTCCAGCAGATGGGAAAGTGATGTTAAATACCCTTTCTGTATCAAATGTGGCCTTACAGCCTATTTAATTATTAATTTTAAGTGGTGTAAAAGAACTAGCTGCAGTTTGCTTCTGTAAATGGATTTATTTTACTTTTTAAAATATTTTCAATAATATTCTCTTCTCTTAAGAGTTGCTGATTAGGCATTGAGTAGTTCCAACATTAATTTTTGAAGATCCCTACATTTTGCTCCTGAATGTAAAGATTTTCTCTGTATATGTATGTGCTAATAGGAAGCTTGTTATACATCATCTCGCAGTGAGAGACAGAAGCATATATTGTTCTTTCTATTTAGTCGTTTTTATGTCAGTTATGTCGAAATTACTTTATAGGGTCATCTGTGGATGAGCACTAGAGGGGGATGAGAACTCTTTCAGTGAGTTTTAGCAGTATTTGCTGATAGAAGAAGAATGTTGAGAGTTAGGGATAATGAGATCTGATGTGGACTCGAGGAAGCTTTGCGTACTCTTCATCCTTCCTGTCCCTGTTCTTTTCCAAGAATGTCTTCATACCACTTACCTTTGCACTCTGTTTTCCTTCTGTAAGCTCCCAGGTCATTCTCTAAATCTGTCGTTTCCCCAGCAATTCATCACGATCTCCAATTAGCCCTTCCATTCCTCCCTCTCCATCTCGATGTGAATTTACCATGTTTTCAGTCTTAGCATACCTCTGTCAGGATCCTTATTTCAGTCTCAGCTACCTCCCTGCTCTCTTTTGCCGCTTCTGTATTTCTGCCATAATGTTTTCCTCCTCGTTTTCTTCCAGGGTGCTTCTGTGCCAGCATGCATAATACTGGGTAGGCAATAATACACAAGTAGCGGTGATCATGTATGTTCAGCTGAACCACTTCAAATTTTTGTGTGGTGTCATAGCAACCTATGGAAGCTTCTGTTGCAGAAGAAGTCCAGTTCAGTTTCTGCAGATCCAGGACAAACCTTAACTGCATAAAGAGAATAATGAATATTCAGTCTGGTTAACAGAGGCATGGACAGGAGATGGTGCATACTGATTTCATCTTCAGCTGTCAAACTCCAGTGAGTCTTTAGAAAACCACAGTTTATATAGACTCACTAAAGAGCTGTAGCTTGGCCAAATTTGGTAATATTTTCATAGGAATGGGAAAAATATGTTCCTGATATGAGGGCCGTTTACTGCCAATTTAAAATCTCTGCTGTAGCTTATGAAGGCATTGGAGCTTTTCAAAAGAGCTGAGCAACACATACTTTTCCTTAATTTCATTATCTGAATTGGCTTGGATTTGTTCCCTAAAACTTTCCAAACATATTAAACCTGCAGCAGATACCCAGTCTGGAAAATATATCAAAGCTAGAAGATTGGCAAGGTTGGTCTGCCTGTACAAATAATGTTGTATAACTGGGATGCCAGTGAGAATGTGGAGAAAGCCAGACTATTTACTCAGAAGCTGGCTTGAGTTGGACTTGAAAACAGTATAGTGGTTTCATTTTTTTTCTTCCTTATAATCACAAAGAAAAATTTTGAAATATTGTGTAATTATGTACTCATGCTTGCAGGCATCTTGGAATTATAATATTAGTGAACAAAAGAAAAAAATTAATAGGGAATAGTGTAGCTTCCTACTGTACTGATCTTACCCCTCCTTCCCATGCTTTCCCCCCAAAATAGTACAACTAGAAAGCATAGTGAGATAGGTAATAAGGGTGAGTATGGACAAGGAAAACTTCTCTCACAAGAATTTCTAAACAGATGAAGACTCAGCCTGAGGGAGGACAGGATAGGATAGAGATTCATGAAGTCATTCCGTATGTGGATCAGGTGAATAGAGAATGATTATTCACTCCCTCTCATAATTCAAGAACTAGGGTCATCTAATGAAATTATCAGCAGGCAGGTTCACAATACAAAAAGAAAGGTACTTACTTTACGCAATGTATTAATATGCCATAGGACCTAGGTCCACAGGATGTTATATGTTCCCAAAGCAATTAGACAAATTCATTGGGGAAAAAATTCCAACAACAGATATTAAAATATCTCTTTTTCAGCCACAAATTCTTGAAGACTGGGAAATCAGTTTGTATATTTACCCTTCAAACCTTTTCCTAGGCAATCCCTTCAAATGGTCACCACTTAAGAGGGATTATTTGGCTGCATGGACCTTTGAATGATGCAGTATAGCTGCTTGCTAATAACTTTTACACTGTGGTTCTCACTGTAAATTCTGTCTCTGACTGACAGTGCTCTGTGTTGGTAAGGAGTTATTGTCTTCTAGTAGAAGTGTGCAGGGAAGGACTGGATTGTTTAAGGACATAAAATGGAGTTTGAATTTCTACAGCAATTTTCCTTTTGGTTTGTTGCCTGAAATACATTAATACCTCTGCCAATTATCCAAGTTTCTGTATGCCAAATCTGTTTCTTTCTAGTTGTGCGTCCCCTTTCCCCTGTTGTGTAGGATATAATTGCAGAGATGCCCCTTTGGCATCTTTTGCCATTTGAAGATTAGGACTGTCATGACCATTTTTGTAGGCGAGTTTAACTTGTTCTGAAATAATAGTATTAAACTTCTGTATCTACTCTCCACAGCCTCGATCAGACAGGGTAAAAAATTTTGAGAGTTCCCCTCTCTCTGAGTAGAGTGTGTGTATGTGTATATGTATTTCAGCTAAGTTTTTCCCCTTCTAATGTTATTTTAAATGTAAGAAAAATCTCATTCTCATGGTTTTGCAATTATATTTCAAGGTGCAGCAAAAACCTGTAATGTTTGTCTTTTTTCTCTTTGGCTGTGTTTTTTGACTATCCAGAAAGTTGTTTCCTATAGAATTGCAGTGCACAGTAATGCTTGGAAAGGTGTCTAATCTGTGGGAGAAAAGTGAATAATCAGAATTCACTCTTTGTGTTAGGAATATCCAGAGGTGGTCTGAAAAGAAACGACCTTATACTAAATATAAGTTACAAATATGACTGGGTAAGTCTGACAGGTTACAAGAATGTAACACCTCCTGAGGGAAGAGAACAGAGGAAATAACTTTCTCTTGTGAAGTTTGCAGTTCCGTGGAAGAAAAGCTTTTCTTCTGTAAAGCTCAAACTTTGTATGAGAGAAACTGTGATTTCAAAGCTTTTATCCAAAGATGTTATCTGTGCCCTGACTGAATTGGGTTCAGCAATCTTAGAGAATAGACAGGAAATCTATTTTAGAAAACTTCAGCATGTGGAATTTAAAAAAATCACAGTATCTTTTCCAATGGAAGAAAACTGAATGTCAGCAACTCTTGCTGTTTTGTCATGCATCTTGTGATATCTGGCAATTTCTTAAAGCCAGAAATTTTCTTTCAATGCCGTTGGCTGAGAATCTTGACAAATATTTATTTTTAGAGAAATTTTTAACCCTTATGTACTTGCAGGGAGAGGCTTATAAAATCTTAACCTCCAGAAAATCTGTTGCTGATGGTATGAAGAAAAAAGGTGTACATGTTTGTTAGATGTTTTTTTTTTTTAGAGGCTTTTTATTGTCTTTTCCTTTCTGTTATATATTGTAATCTCTAGAACAGCAGCTGCGTATCTGAGGTGGGGTTTGCTGTCTTGTCTTGGCTAAGGTGCTGGCTAATGTTTTTTTCCGACACCTGGGATAAATTCTGACAAATTGAACTGGGAAATTGATAATGGGATATAAAGCATTCTATGTATTACTTTATTAGTTCCTCTGAGCTGAGTAATGAGCAAAAGTTATTGATGAGTCATACTGACGAAAGTGTCTAGGAAAGAGACCTCTACTTAACTGTTCTTTTCAGTGGTTACTAGTGTGAAGTGTGGCAGTGGACACAGACTTCTGGCTGCAGTCCCCATAGATTGACAGTAGGTTCATTCTTTGAGAGAAGAAAGCTCGGGACTAAGGACCTATGTAGAATTAAGGTTTTTGCTTAATGTATAAGACAGCTAGCTGTGTTTGAGTTTTCATAAATAAATCTTAACAAAAATAAATCATTGGAATAAGAAATATTACCTATATTGAGATTTTGCATTTTTTAACTTTTGCATATCATCCTTCAAATGTAACTTGATGTAGGTTTCAGCCTCACTGTTTGTTATATATTACTAATTTCTCTTCTTGGAGACTCCAAAGAAGCACATATTGGACTGTCTTTACCACTGACAATGTGTGATCACATATATGTCATGCTACTTCTTTGTGTCCTGATTTACCTCACAAGATAATGTTTAGTGTTTCCAAAATGCTATGAGATTTTTTTTGACAGCCTTGAAGAAAAATATTTGTTAAATTATTACTAAAATGTACCAGATGGGAAAGATGAGAAGAGAGAAAATAGACCAGAGTATTTAAAAACTGGGGGTGTACTATGTTCATATTTAAGACTCATTAACTTTCAAGTGCTGAATACTACTAGCCATTTTTTTAATAGTGGGGAAAACAAAAAAATCTGACAAGTATTTAAATATTTAATGTTAAGAACTTGGGTGGGGTCTTCAGCTTATTTTACCTGCAGCTTCGCTTGAAGTTGATCCAGTTCCATCCTGATTTGGACTGATTCACTAACTGTTTTGGGAGCCCCAGAGAGGTCATGCTGGTTCTGTGTTGAGAAAGAGAACACTTAAAAATGGGAAGATTCAAGTGAGGGGATGCAGTAGGCCCAGAAGTCAAGATTTCAGCTACCCGTGGCGTTAGCCCTCGTTCACCTGCTTCTTTGAGGGAGCCTGCACAATTCTCAAAGTGAATCCAGAGTTTCTTGCCAGTTTACTGAGTCTGGGGTATAGCGGAAGAGCTTGAAAGAGGCTGCCACACTGTGCTTGAACATCAAGCAGTGCCACTGGTTTGGAGGAGCAGATGAGAGTGCTTGGGGCTTGAACACTGCACGCAGGAACGGAAATGCACACATGGACATGCCTGTGTGTTGAGAGCATCAGGGAAGGCTGGGGAAGAAGTGGGAGTTTGGGCTGGTGGGATCCAGCAGGCACACATACAACACTACTGACAATAACAGTAGGCAGTTTTCAAGTGTGCTGGAACAGAGGTCAAAATACAAAATGTTGCCTGTTCCCACTTGAACCAGTTTTGTTTGAATGCACTTAGAGCAGGTGTAAAAAGTCTTTGTGCTAGCAATATCATTGTTAGACTGTCCAAAGCAGCACAGCACAGTGGCACATAAATAAGGATTTGTGCAGCACGTGTTCTGAGTTACATAGTGATGGGGAGAACTGTAGTGTAATTGCCGCTCTGTAGAAGCAGTTGGTGCAAAGGGTCTCTTGTAATAGACAGGTGCCACTTAGGGGAGACATCAGCTTTTAATCGAGCCATCATGCTGAAATGGTAGTGGAAAAAAAAAATTCTCTATGTGCAACAAAGAAGTTAAAATAACAATCTAGATTCTTTTTTTTTAGTCAGTGCTAAGATTGGCTTCTGACTTCCTGTTCTCTAATGGGAAGGGATTAGGCCCTTTATGTTTTGAAAGAGACTGAGCCAATTCCTGTTGCAAAATTCCAGTACTGAGATCAAATGAATGAATAAAAACAGTTAGGAAAAACCTGATTTGTCAGAAAGCCACCTTCATTAGTGCTCGCATCTCTTTTCTATCGTAGAAATTGTTTTTAAGCTGTAATTGCATCTCACTGACAAAAGCTTCTGGCTACATATGTAAAGATTTGTAAAATACTGCCTTTCTGTAGGCTGGTGTAATCTGTGCCAGAAAATACAAACCCAGCCTCTGCATGTGAAGAGCTCCTCCTCCGGAGTTCAGTTCCAGTGCCTCTATTGGTTAGCATTGTTGAGCCTTAAATATATTCTGCAGTACGTGGTTTACTAGGCTTTGACGCTTGCACTTGAAAGGCAGGAAAAAATCTTGCTTCAGAAATGTTCTACATAACATTGCCCTGTGAAGAGTTGAAGTGATTCAGTTACAGAAAAGATATTAGCTGGCGCCAGTAAAACAAGCAGTAAATGTCTCTTTACCCTCCCCTTTTCTTATGTTCCTTTTGCCTGCTCCTG